TGTGTCAGCCTCACAAACAGAAACTGGAAGTTGGTTCCACAAGAGAGGAGCCTGATAACTGGAAGATCTGATATACATATATATACAGTTAACATCTGTAATTCAAAACAAATCCTGATTCAAATCTAATTACAGTCAATTTATTCCAATAACAACACAAGACTATCACATGCAGTACATTATGATGAAATGACAATTAGTAAAACATTGTCTGTCTAATGAGGTCAGAAAATTGCAATGAGTTTTTATTTTGTTACAAACTGTCACCTTGAGAAGCCATTTATCAACAGTGGAAAGGAAGGACCCCCTTTGAACAGGAAGAAACCTCCAGCAGAACCAGGCTCAGGATAACTTGGTGCTGAACGGACATGAACGAGACACAGAAGGCTCAGTCCAGATGTAGTTTTTTTTTTTTTTTTTTTTTTTATGAGAGAACAAGCAGAGAACATTAAGTCAGGGACATATTTGCAAATGTGCATGTGGGAAGTAGACAACCATGTGAGAAAATGTGTTTAACTTTTCCCCCAGCTGTTTAAGCTTACAGCAGCATAACCGGAGGATAGCTCAAGAAACCTAAGCTAACACCAACTATAGTATTTATTAGAAAGGAAAGTCGTATGTCTTGTATTAAGAGTTAACAGGGTGTCAGCCTCTTGGACAGAAACAGACAGATGTTTTCAAAAAAGAGGTGCTTGATAAAGCTCTGTTTCCCATTCTACGTTTAGAACTTCTAGGAACCACAAATAAACCTGCAGTCTAAGGATGCTCAGTTTAAAACTAAGATTTAGCTTTGGGTCACTTACCACCACCAGAAATGGAGGATCTGTCTCAAAAATGACCTGTCATTCTGGGTTTTTAAAGTCAGATTATAAATAAAAATATGTAAATCCACTAAGCATGTGATCTTTCTTTCCTGGATCTTAGTTTTTGAGAAACAAGTTCAGGGAATTGGTACATTTTCTGTACTAAAAGGTCAGTTCCCTGATTTTTAAACTGCACCTGTGACTTTTATTTAAAGCCTTGTTAGTTATTTGTAATTTGTCAAAAATACACTGAGATGGTACATCATTGTAATACTGTTGATCTTAATGTATGTTAGTGTTTGCTGAGATCGTAACGAGATTAAAACCAAAAATAAACATAATTGGGACCACTTTTTAAACTGTCATCTGGATGTATTTCAGTGTTCAGCTGTAAGCGTACAGATCTAGGCCAGCAGGTTGCCATAATTGTCCTCTCATTCACTTTAATTTCATTTTCTCACCTTCTGTTTTTTCTATTTTTGCAACCTCTAGAAAGGGAACACTGCTCTCCATATCGCAGCGCTGGCAGGACAGGAGAAAGTAGTAGCTGAGCTTGTTCATTATGGTGCCAACGTTAATGCCCAGTCACATGTGAGTCTCCCCTTAAGCTGTTAAAATTAAATAAGCAACTGTGTCAAGTTTAAGTATTTTGCAAGTTACAACTTCTATTGAGTAAAAATGTCCCCTTAATGGATTTGCATGATAAAAACTTAACCAAAACATCCAAATTGTATTCAGATGTATGTTTTCCATCTTTATGCATATGTCCTAACAGAAAGGATTCAGTCCTCTGTACATGGCAGCTCAAGAAAACCATTTAGAAGTGGTGAAGTTTCTGCTTGAGAATGGTGCAAACCAAAGTCTCCCAACTGAGGTATGTATCTTTTAAAACACCAACCATTAATTTTGTCTTGGGTTTTTTTGACCAACAGAAGAGTCTCCTTGAAATCCAGGATTGTTGTTGCTTAAACGTTTTCTTTTCATGAAAATAAAGTGCCAATCAGAAAGTGTGTTTAAGAAAATCAACAGGATCTCTTGAAATCATTTACACGATAATGAGCTGTGTTTTGTAATTAAATCTTCTCCTTAAATGGTTTCTTGTTTAGTTGAATAATAAAATCTTACTGTGTTTTCTAAATGCAAAAGAATAACCTGCAAGTTGAACAAAAGTAATGTTACTCTTAAGAATTACATGACAAATTGTTACCATATTTTTCTGACTGTAAGGCGCAATATCAATGAACTGGTCTGTTTTAATACATGAGGCACACCGGATTATAAAGGCGCATTAAGCAAAACAAAACAGTCAAATAAGTCAAACTTTATTCATCTCATTTACAATAACCACATAAAATCAGTTTGAGGTCAGTAAGCACAACCAGAATTAATACATAAGGCGCACCTGATTATAAGGCTCACTATTAATTTTTGAGAAAATTTAAGAATTTCAGTGCGCCTTATAGACCGAAAAATACGGTAATTTGTTAATTATCTCACACATAAAGTACTAAAATGTTGATTAAAAAAAATTAAAGTTGTCCTTATGTGCTACTTGAGAGGATATTACGAATGTTTTTCCTCAAACTACAATACTTTTGCATCACAAACGCATTACAAACAATGATGCTGGACGAGGACCACCTGCATCATGAAGAACCACACTCACCCAGCACACACACTTTTTGCCCCACTCCCTACAGGAAGAATGTTGCAGAGCATTAAGTGGAGAACCACTAGACTGTGGAACAGCTTCTACCCTGAGGCTGTTAGACTCATGAATCTCTAAGCAGGATAATCACTGTGAAAAATCACATCATGTTGCTGCTGATCTGTTTCATGTTGCTGCTGATCTGTTTCATGTGTTCATTCGTATTCATCTGCTCACACAGACTCATGTTCGTGCTGCTGGTTGGCGTATTGTGTTTATTGTTTTTATGCTACAAAGTATTAGTGCTTAGCATATTTTTAGCTGATGTTTTTCTCAGTTCATATCTTATATCGTATTACTGTTTTTTTTTTTTACATTTTAATGTTGGATGCAACTGGGACCCTGTGTACATCATTTTGTTCCACCACATGTACAACATGTGAAATGACAATTAAGAAACTCTGAATATTTTCTGGTACCATGAGACAATAAACGGAGAGAAGGGTATTAGAACATCCACCGCATCCATTCAAACTATATATTCAGTCACTGAAACAATATGATTTTTACTTATCCTCCCTCATCTCCATTACAGTAATGTTTGCTTAATTGTGACTGTTTTAATCTCATTCTTGCTTTCTTTCATTTTTACCAATTACAGCCCCAAAATAATGTTGTTTGCTTTGAATAGTAACAACACAATACGACTTCAAAATATGAGTGAAATTCAGCTATTGACTACTACTATCTACTACTAAAGAAGTAGAAGGTTCCTAAAAGGAGCATTTAGCTAAATTAATAAACAACTAACATTTTTCATATTCATATCCAAGAATTTTTGTGCTCAATAAAATAAAATTAAAAAAATAGTGATAAACCGTTTCTTTGACTCCCTCTTTCTTTGTTCTT